TGCCCCCAGCTCTCCCCATGTCCTCCTGCCCTTGCCCCCAGCTCTCCCCATGTCCTCCTGCCCTTGCCCCCAGCTCTGACCATGGGACCTCTCATATCGCCATCGTCCCCCATCTGTGTGTGTGCACGTGGGTCCCCATGGGTGTGAGGGGCCTGTGTGACTGAGGACTTGTGCTGGTCCCTGAAGTCAAAGGGCTGGGCATCCCCCATCTGAAAATCCTCCTTGTCCAACCCTCCCCTGGTGTCCCCTGTGCCCAGCCCTCCTCACTAGATAGCTCCCTGGGCCGTCTCCTTCTCCCACCTCCGTCATGTCTGGAACCTCCTCATCCTGACACCCTCTCCTCTTGCAGGGCCGCCTCCTCCCCAGTCCCTCCTGCAGCGTCTCCGCTCTGGGCCCGGCCTCCACCTGCTGTCCCTGGGCCTTGGTCTCCTGCTGCTGGTCATCATCTGTGTGGTTGGATCCCAAAGTGAGGGTCACAGGGGTGGACAGGGAAGAGATAAATAATGGGGTAGAATATAAATAATGGGGTGCTACAGTAGGGCAGAGGTGAGGCCTGCAGTAAGAGCAATGCAGGGCACAGTGTTGGGGGCAGCTGTGGAGATGACAATGGGGCATGGTGAGGACAATGCTACCAACTGTCATGGGGGTCACAACAGGGCCACTGAAGCACTGATGGGGGCACTGAGGGAGTGATTGATGGGAACGGTAGGGGACACTGATGGAATGATTGATGGGAATGGTGATGGGGGCACTGATGGAGTGATTGATGGGAATGGTGGGGGCACTGATGGAATGATTGATGGGAATGGTGGTGGGGGCACTGATGGAGTGATTGACGGGAATGGTCATGGGGGCACTGATGGGGTGACTGATGGGAAGGTCGGGGGCACTGATGTAGTGACTGATGAGAATGGTGATGGGGCACTGATGGAGTGATTGATGGGAATGGTTGGGGGGCACTGATGGAATGATTGATGGGAATGGTGGGGGCACTGATGGAGTGATTGATGGGAATGATGGGGGCACTGATGGAGTGATTGATGGGAATGGTGGGGGCACTGATGGAGTGATTGATGGGAATGGTGGGGGCACTGATGGAGTGATTGATGGGAATGGTGATGAAGGCACTGATGGAGTGATTGATGGGAATGGTAGGGGCACTGATGGAATGATTGATGGGAATGGTGGGGGCACTGAGGCAGTGATTGATGGGAACGGTCATGGGGGCACTGATGGGGTGACTGATGGGAAGGTCGGGGGCACTGATGGAGTGATTGATGGGAATGGTTGGGGGGCACTGATGGAGTGATTGATGGGAATGGTGGTGGAGGCACTGATGGAATGACTGATGGGAATGGTGGGGGCACTGATGGAGTGATTGATGGGAATGGTGGTGGAGGCACTGATGGAGTGATTGATGGGAATGGTGGGGGCACTGATGGAGTGATTGATGGGAATGGTGGGGGCACTGATGGAGTGATTGATGGGAATGGTGATGGGGGCACTGATGTAGTGACTGATGGGAATGGTGATGGGGGCACTGATGGGGTGACTGATGGGAAGGTCGGGGGCACTGATGGAGTGATTGATGGGAATGGTGATGGAGGCACTGATGGAGTGATTGATGGGAATGGTGGGGGCACTGATGGAGGGATTGATGGGAATGGTGGGGGCACTGATGGAGTGATTGATGGGAATGGTGGGGGCACTGATGGAGTGATTGATGGGAATGGTGGGCGGGCACTGATGGAGTGATTGATGGGAATGGTGGTGGAGGCACTGATGGAGTGATTGATGGGAACAGTGGTGGGGGCACTGATAGAATTGATGGACCCATAAATAGGATGGCTGCTGGCTCTGTCACTGATTAGTTGGGTTATGTACTCAAATTACTTCACCCCTCTGAGTCTTAGTTTCCTCATCAGCAATATTGCACAATAATAGTGCCTGCCCCACTGGGTTGCCGTGAGGACCTAATGAGGCAATGCTTATGGAGGGCCCGGGGCGGCGCTGGCACAGAGGACCCGATGAATCCCAGCTCTGACCTTCCCATCCACCTGTTTAGATTCCAAATTTCAGAGGGACCTGGTGACCCTGAGAACAGATTTTAGCAACTTCACCTCAAACACTGTGGCTGAGATCCAGGCACTGACTTCCCAGGGTGAGCCTGGCTTGGATGGGGCTCTGGGCTGGGGCCAGGCCAGGGAGGAGGAAGTTGACCCCTAAGTGAAGTCTCCATGTCCTCCAGGCAGCAGCGTGGAAGAAATGATAGCGTCTCTGAAAGCTGAAGTGGAGGTTATCAAGCAGGAACAGCAGGCAGGTGAGAGACCCTCCAAGTATGGGTCTGGGAGGCTAGGCTCTCAGACGCAGGTGGGGGTGGGAGCAGGCTCCTGGTGCTGACCTGCCCTCCCCTTCACCAGCAGCTTGAAAGGCAGCTGAGCGGGCGTGGGGCTCATGCCTGAATCCAGCACTTTGGGGAGGCCAAAGGGTTTTTGGAACACGAAGGTCAGATTCCGAGACCAGCCTGATCAACACGGTGAAACCCATCTGTACTTTCAAAAAAAAAACCAAAAAAAAAATAGCTGGGTGTGGTGGTGGACACCCTGTAATCCCAGCTACGTCGGGAGCTGAGGCAGTGGAGAATTGCTTGAACTGGGAAGAACGAGGTTTGTGGTGAGCCCGAGATCCGCATCATTGCCCTCCAGGCGAGGCAACAAGAGGAAACTCCTTCCTGCAAAAAAAAAAAAAAAAAAAAGTCGCATGCTTTCTCTGGAGAGCAGGCTGGAGAAACAGGAGTGGAGGAATCCAAAGCGGATTTGATGGCCGTATCTGGCCATGATATAGGGGGTGGGTGGGGGCAGGAAGGAAAGTTCCTGGGCTTGGCCCTGTGCAGGGACATCTGAGCTCCAGGAACACACTAAGCAGAAGCACACCTAGGCCACTGTCCCCACTGCCCATCTGTGTGTGTCCCAGTTCATTCTGAAATGCTCCTGCGAGTCCAGCGGCTGATGCAAGACCTGAATAACGTGATCCTGCCAGGTGGCTATCTCAAGAACAATGGTGAGGAGGTGTGGGGAGTACCCGGCCTGCTTTTCTGTCCACGGCCCAATGGGCGGCTCACCCTCTCCCTCTTATTTCGTTCCCACTCAGGCCTCTACGGAAAGGCCTGCTGGCCCGTCAACGTGGTGGAGCACCAAGACAGCTTGGCTACTGGTCTCCTCGCTCCTGCTGATGCCCCTGGGCCGAGGCTGAGAAGGCACTGCCAAGCTGAACGCCAGCCTGGTGGTCATCAACTCCGGGAGGAGCAGGGTGGAGGACTTTCTGGTTACTCAGTTCCTAGACAAGTCCCATTTAGGGAAATAGTTCTTAATTTGGGCCACACCATTGGAATCATCTGGGGCTTCCAGAATGGACTGTCATCTTCCAGCACCCTAAGCGATTTATAGGCCTGAGATCCCAGAGAAACATCCCCAAACTCCTCAGTGAGTTCGTAACGAAGAGGCTAAAGTTGAGAATCTGCTTTAGGAGTTGGCTGGTGATGGGAAGAAGCACACTGCCCTTCTGTCAACCCATAATTTTGTCCAGGAGCACTAAGCTTTCGCATACACCTGGATGGGCCTCAGGTGGACCGTGAAGGAGCCTGGAAGGGGTGGGATGGAACAGACTATGGAGACCGGCTTCCGAGGTGGGTGCACTCTGTCTTTCTGTGCCAATTTGTCCTCATCATCTGCTGCCCCCCAGGGTTTTGACTGCCAGGTCCTCTCCCTTCCCCTAAACTGAATTCCATTTCCACCTAGCCTTCCTAGCTTGCTGTTGTCTTTACTCTCAGGAACTGGAGCCAGGCCGAGCAGAGACTGGCAGGGGCACGGGCTGGGGGCGGAGGCGAGGACTGTGGCCCATTCCCCCAGGACGGCAGGTGGGAATGACGAGTCTGCCAGAGGCCTACTACATGGGGTCTGCGAGGCTGGCTGGACAGGGCCAGCTCAGGAGAGTCACCTGAGGTTGCTTTGGTGGGGCACCTGCCGCAGAAAGCGGCGTTGGGAGGAGGACTCTACCCAGGAACGCTCCCCTCAAGACCGCTCTGGCAGAAATAAGCCCTGGGAGACTGTGGAGCACTGCCAAGCATTTTGAGTTGGTTTTTCTCCCGTAATTTAAAAAGATAGAGTTCTTAAGCTTTTATTTTTTTCCAACTTTTGGAAAGTAACTTCATGAATTGTGGATAATTTTTACAGAATAAAATGCCACTCATTTAAAGGTAGAGGATGACTTTGACCAAATATGCGGTGCCTAGGTGACTCCCACCTCTGAATCGCATAGGTAACACTGCCATCGCCCCCCCCTCATGCCTCTAGGCAGTCCAACACTTCCCTGTTTCCAGGCAACTAGTGGTCTTACCGTTTGTTATATTTAACTGGCTGCTCCTTTTTCTTTAAGGGAAGCTTCTAGAACTTCATATAATGTGAATCATTACACTGTAGTGTATATACTTCATATAGTAGTGAATATTTTATTCTTGTGAGAACTTATGTACTTTGTGTTGCATTGATTTTTGGCAATTTAAAAATGGGCCAAGAGTGGAGAGGCCAGTGTGAAGCCTTCGAAAGTCCTATTGCAATTGGGAAAATGCATTTTCTTCTCATACAGATTTGAGTTCAAATCTTTCTGTACCTTATAGTATGGGTATAAATGTAGGATGTTTAGGAAAAAGCCATTGTTAATTTAACTGGAGATCCAGGTACGTTATTGGGAGAGGGTAGAGTAAGTCCCCAGGTGTATTGGTTAGCAGTTGGTGTGTAACAAACCACCACCACAGCTCAGGGGCTTAGTGCGAATAAGCAATTGCATTATAGCTCATGGAAGGCTATAGGTCAGTCTGGCCAGGTTTGGGTCATCTTGGCTGGGCTTGTTCATGCCTCTGTGGTCAGCTGGTGGGTTGGGGGTTGGCTGGTCTAGGGTAGCCTTGCTCCCATGTCTCATATTTGGCTGGCTCTGGACTGGGACAATGGGGATGACTGGGTCACATTAGCCTAGCCTGGCCTTGTTCACAGAATGGCTGGGTAGGGGTCCAAGAGAGAAACTGGAAGAGTGCAAGGACTTCAGAGCCTTGTTTGGAACTGAACCATCATTTCTTCTGCATCCTATTGGCTAAAGCAGATTCCAAGGCTGCTCAGGT